AGAAGAAAAAAAGAAAAGAAACCAAACTGGACATATGAGCATCAGTGCACAGCAAAGAATCAATACATTTCTTCCTAACCCAAAAACTCTAGACAGAACAGAAAACGGAACATCTAACATCTAAACTCAAATGTCCTTAGCAAATCTGCTTATCTATTCCCCGGGGAGATTTAATGAGCAGGAAAAGTAAAAAACAAAGAGGACGTAACGATGCACAGGAGAGAGATCAAAACTTGAGGATCTTCTTAAATGTCATCTCGATGTTAAATGTTGTCTTTAAACACAAACTTGCCATGATGATAGTCTTTGTCAAGTACCCAGACAGTTTCTGATGGTCCAATTATTATTTCTCCTTAGCACTTAAAAAAAAAAGAAGAAACTCTTCAGAGAGTGGGATAAAAATCCAAGAGAGATCATTAGTTTCAATTGGAAGTCAAAGAAAAAATATTTAAACTGAAAGGACTCATGTCATCATGAAAAGTATTAAAAGTAAAATAAACAAAAAAAAACTTATCAAAAAATTATTTCAGTGTCAAAAAGAAAAAAAAATGTGAGTCAGAAATTAGTTTTATGCTTTCAAGTAGCAATTTCTTTCTAATGTTTTATTTTCTCCTTCAAGATTATGCCTCTTTTCTCATTTTTACAACTTTGTAAAAGGCACAACCTTTCTGAGACTAATAATTTGTCATGAAAACTACTTTACAGATGCCAATCCACCCATTCTCTCTCTCTTAAATTTCTCTTCTAACATGAACTGGTGTGTTTAGCTTCTTAAGTTAACATCAAAAATTCAAATGGTCTTTATGAAAAGGTCAAAATCATCAGGACTGCAGCTTTATGTATTAATATTTTGTCCCTAATTTAGTTCCTATAGGTTTCACATCCAATGACCACCTGGTTTTATATGTGTAAGTGGAAAATCTCTGTAAAAATACAGCTAGTATAATATATTGTGCTGGGATACACAGGTCAACTTGTTACATAAAAGGGTTTCAGAGTCATTTAATATGTTTAATATGTCCAAAGGTAAATCAATTTAAAAATCATGTTATCCTATCAATAATCTTTATCTTTGACAAATCAACAGATTTTATTTTAAACCTTGCCTATTTTATAAAAAGATGCTTCAAAGGGTTAAGCTTACAGATGGGATGAAAGGGAAAGTGAAAGTGAGATACATTAGCTGTATATAACAGCCAAGAGAGACCTATGACCACACCCTTTATGACTGAACCCACCACCTCACTTACTCTCTCTCTCTCTCTCTCTCTCTCTCTTAACCAACCCACCAAGCCAAAGGTTGGCTGCAATTGTAAGAGTTACGTTTTTGAGGTTTAGGGTCAGCTTTAATTCAAAATAAATTTGCTGTACTCTGTATGATATATTATTAATTCAGTACAAACATTGGCCAATGGATCAATGAAAATGGCCATAATAAAAACAAAATAAAAAGTTAGGACTGAGTGCATTTCAATCAAAAGCACGAAACTCAACTGAACATTTAAGAGTTGGATCAGATTAAATGCCTTTTCAAATTGCTTATATTTCATAAAATATGTCAATATCTTAGAATATTACAAATATTTAGTAAAACAACTTCACAGGAAAAAAAAAACAATTAGAAAAATGCCCAAAAATATCTTTGAAATCCTGAATCTGAAAATAAAACTTGGAATTATATTTTTGTTCATTCTCTGAGCACTTGCTTCACCTCCAGTAATGAAAAATTGCCTCACACCAGGCCACACTCTACAACCCATCAGACAGATAATTGAAACTAATGGGGAAACCTGTTTTTAGGAGGTATCAAAAGAAACTTGGTATTTCCTACAGATGATAAAACTTCAGGTGTTACTCAAGATAACTTCAAAGTCACTATGCAATTGAAGAGCCACTTTACAAAAAGACTTTTCACTCAGCTGACGGTTAATTGTACGAATGTTTCAAATGCCTTGTAAAAGGTGTGTTTACACTAAAGATAGGCCCACCATTCTTGGCAGCATGTTTGGCCCACTGCACTCCATTTACCATACTAGACCCACACTGCCCCCATACTGGACCCATGCTGCCTCCTCAATGGACCCACACTGCCTCCATACTGGACCCACACTGCCCCATTGCCCCCATACTGGATCCACACTGCCCCCATACTGGACCCACACTGCCCCCACAATGGACCCACACTGCTTCCACAATGGACCTACACTGCCTCCACACTGGACCCACACTGCCCCCCATACTGGATCCACACTGCCCTCACAATAGACCTACACTGCTCCCACAATGGACCTACACTGCTCCCACACTGAACCTACACTGCCCCTCATACTAGACCTACACTGTCCCCCATACTGGACCCACACTGCCCCATACTGGATCCACACTGCCCCCATACTGGATCCATAGTGCCCCATACTGGATCCACACTGCCCCCATACTGGATCCATACATGTTTTGCATATTAATAAACCCCTTTGCTATATGATTCTTTTTATCTTCTTTTCTATCTATTATCCAAATATCATTTTCTCAATTAATCTCAATTATCTTTTTCCCCTTTTCTAGTGTGTAACACCTTGGTGCCCCCCCCCCCCCCCAAAAAAAAAAAAAAAAGCTGTGATATCTTAAGCAAGTGTTTGGGCCTAAATTCTGCCCCTTATCATAGACTGATGGTGTCTCTTTGGGAATAGGGTCTTAGACACATATCCTGTCCTATGTCTCTAGCCCTGTCTTGAACACACCCAATGTTATATACTACACCATCATGCCATTGTAATATCTCTATAACTGAGGGAAAGAACTCAAGTTATGTGTATAACAACCCAGATTCTGGTTATGTGCATGCCTCAATAAGAGAAAAAGTGGCATTTTTCCCCAAATCAAGACTTCTTCTCCTCGGTCATAGAACAATAGTGCCATGCAGTTTGCTTCACTTATGTAAAAGTGCAAGGAATGTATCACACTTGACTCCCCTGTAAGTTATGAAATTTAATCAAAATTTTGTACAAACACTTTGTATGTTGTCTAGGAAATATCTGTTGAGAGGGAGAGTGGAGAAACAAATTACAAACTGAGCCATAAATAATAAATAAATGATGGATTTTTATCTTGAATGTGGTTTTGAGTGCTCATAAATTTGATCCGTTTGAACAATGTCACGTTCTTCCCCCATTTATCATGATTGTGTGTCACTTAATAAAACATATCAATTTCAAGCACTAGTTCATTTCAGTCGCAACAAATTGCAAGAATTGTACAAGAAAGGTTACTTTTAGAAAAATTCACTAATTGTCTAGACTTGTAATACACTTAACAGGCTCCCAGTGGTAAGTTTAATTTCCAGTAATGGCTTGGAGCCACTTTTTGAGCAATAGAAAATGAGATATTTCTTTCTGTTGTTTTTAAGTAATCTGTCTGATGAAACAACAATCAGTTGCTTTTAATGCTTACTTTGTATGTGCAGTTGGGGAGAGAAGGGGGGGGGTTAATACTCTTTCTTTAATTTAAAGATTTTACATGAGACACAAAGCATCAACTAATTTCACTGGTACAATAATAACGATGTAGACAAACAAACAAATAGTACACTTTCTTTGGTAGATAGTAAAACAGTATAAAATACACAAATGAGCAAACTTAAAAACCATATTACATTATTCCTTGAGCTACAAGCATGTGCTACAAACTTGTGAATAATTTAAAAGCTAACATTGGCACATCTGGTGAAACTACTTGTGTATGCTGGATTAAAAACTTGAAAATTTTCAAAAAAGTGAATTTACTTAGTGTACTTTACTCAGTACACTTTCAACTTCAAATACCTATATAGCAACAAGAGTGCAAGAAACCCCTAAAATTATTGTATACTGAAGCATATTTGTGTTGTATTTACAAACAACTAATCAACCTATGAACAACAAATCTAAGAATACAACCCATTTTTAACTTGAATCTTTTAAAACATGCCAGATGTGGCATGGAACTGATACAGGGTCTCTTCTAAAAATTGGAATCAAAATTTGAAAAACTCTCTCTAGGCAACATATGAATAATCGATTGACTTTGATTGTAAAATTGAATGAATGAGTGACTGAATGAATGAAGGATAGAATGAAAGAAGGAAAGAAATGAATAAATGAATGAATGAACAAATGAACGAACAAACAAACAAATGAATGAATACATAAAGATTTCCCATTATCAGTAATGCTATCTGTTTTCTGTTCTCACTAACACGAGTTCCACATGGCATTGGTGGTACCATGAAAACAAGTGGGACTTCAATATGCCCATTTGTTTTGGCCTTAAAAATCTATAATTATGGGAGATAACTTGCTACAAATGGAAATTGGATCATGAAATTTTCCCATCATCACTTAGTGTATAACTATGTGATAACATCATAAAGGAAGAAGACATGGGAACAAATCAATAGGAGACTAGATCAGCAGACAAAAATGTGAAAAATTAATTTACTCGGACTCTGTACACTTCTTGAGACGGGATGCGAAGTGGGACTTCTGTCTCCAGCATGGAGACAAATGTTTGTAATGATTGTAATCAAGCCACAAATCCCCCAGGTTCCAGGAAGCAGTGTGTGGGCAATGCTACATGTCTCAGCATTATTGATATAACAGCTTTTCACTCATCCCTTGTGGTTTATGCTTAATTTGGAAAATGAATTTGCTTTTTTTAAGGCATGCTTCTAGAGCGTACTTGTCGTAGCCATCACACATCAAGTGACCCTTGGATTACGCAAATACTCATTGAGTGACGTAAGTTATAATACTAGCTATCAACTGTGTCTTTATGGCAAATTGATAAAATACCGTTATCATTACCAGCAAGATCTTATCTTACAGCCCTACATGATGTGTGCATTGTACTAGTAATTTATAGACCTACATTAATTGTTTTGATCTGAAATTATAAAATCAAGGCATCAATTTATCACTATCATTCAATTCATAGATCAAGCTGAATAACACTAGCACATTCATTCATATTTGTATAAAAATCTGGAATAAAAGATACAATAAAGATACACTGCACAAAATTGCATTTAATATTTCAGAAAATTTTGAACAATATTGAAAAATATTTCAACCAAGAAAAAAAATAGAAATGGGCAAAGTTCACATGCATGGTAGGGCAAATCATGGGTCTTTGTCCTCTTCCTGGATATTGCTCTCTTTTGGTAGCATCAAGTGGCATATATTGTACCCAAACACATGATTGGTCACAATTCTTCAAGTTTTTAACATCCATACCAATCAAATGACATTTGACAAAACACTGTCTTGTCAAATCCATAGTATTATGTAATCAAACATTTCATTGGCCATGTTCTATCCAGCTGTTCCAATCAACACCAATGAAAAGCCATTTGACAAGACAGTTTAGTCAAATTCAAAAGCTTAACAATCGTGTTCCCCTATATTGATGTTTAGTACCAAACGATAAGATTTGAGTTCAAGCAGTGTTTTATCACAAAAATGGCAGCAACCCTTACACATATCATCTTTTAGGTTTTAACAGCAGAAAATTGTGAACTGTAACACAGAAAACTGGAAAAAAATCCTCAAATGCTACAGTTATAATACCTGTTACTAATTTGCAGAAAACCTTGAGTGGTAATCTGAAAACTCCCTAACACCCTTTTACTTTAAAAGGTGAAAATGGGAAGTGGCACACATCGTATCTGTGCTGTACAAACCCAAAAGAGACCATGTGTAAGGGCTGAATACCCTGATATATATATCACTGACATGTAAAATGATAGCAATTACCTCTAATAAGTGAGCTGTCAGAGGTTTCCAGAGCACCTCCACGCGTGGAAGGTTCACTAGACCTGTCTCCAGGAGCTTGGCCACTGCAAACAGACTGGGTTCCTGGAATGAACAGACGGGAGATTTTATGTCCAATAAAGAAAAATAATTGAAATGATAACATATAATAATCCTGAAATTAATAGAGGCTATTAAATGCAAAAAAAAAGGCAAAATTGATTCTTAATATTGGCAGCAATCATTTTTATGTCAACAAAAGAGAAATAACTGAATCTTGAAATTGATAGTCTGACATCATTTTAATACAATAGTAAAAGAAACCACTGAATCCTGACACTTGGGGACAATATACATAATACAAAAGAAAAAGAAATAATTGAATCCATGAAATTGATAGTCTGACATCATTTTAATACAATAGAAAAAGACATCAATGAATCCTGACACTTGGGGACAACATACATAATACAAAAGGAAAAGAAATAATTGAATCCATGAAATTTATAGTAACCATTTTACTACAAAAGAAAGAGAAATTACTGATTTTTTAAAATTGGCAGCAATCATTTTTATGTCAAAGAAAGAGAAATAATTGAATCTTGAAATTGATAGTCTGACATCATTTTAATACAATAGAAAAGACATCACTGAATCCTGACACTTGGGGACAACATTCAAATACAAAAGAAAAAGAAATAATTGAATCCATGAAATTGATTGTCACCATTTAATACAAAAGAAGAGAAATAATAGATTACTTAAAGTGACAAGAATAATGTGGATGTTGAACACAAGTAGCTCTGAGCAAGGTGTCATTGGCATGTACGCAAGATACACCATGTTTGAGCCTAATGTTCACGCAGTGTTATAACTGCTGTAATACTCACTCTAGTAGTGTATGCAGAGTGTTCCATAGACTCTGCTGAAAGTTTACATAAATACTGTAATACTCACTCTAGTAGTGTATGCAGAGTGTTCCATAGACTCTGCTGAAAGTTTACATAGAGCATCTATCAAATGGTGGAGTGCCACGTCATCTAGGTACCTGAGTGAGAGGAAGAAATGGAATAAAAATAATGATTATTACTACTTACATAATTACTATGTATTATTATAATTATTAGAATACATGAAAAAGAAAAAGGTGACATAAAAGATCTAATAAACTAACCATATCATGTCAGAAAAATTTTTTTGCAAGTAACTGAAATTAAGAAGTCACAAATAAGAAAAAATGGTATAACTGATGCATGAGATAGCTATGAGAAAGATAATGTTTTCAAATATTACACTTTTTATTTATTTACTTATTTATTTATTTACCACTTACTGTGAGCTTTCAAACAGTCTGGACAACATAGCTGACAGCACAGGCAGGTCGGCCATGATGGCTGTGGTAATGACAGCGTTAGGACTCTCTGTCGCCTGCTTTGCTGCCTTCAGACTGCCCCCAGTGGCCGGCTTGAGACCAAGTATCCAAACCAAGTGCTGAAATGTTTACATGTTAACATTTGTTGTATATTACAAAATGTACTTCAACGGTTGCACTGGAATTGTCAAGATGAATTCAACTAAGCAGTCCACAGCCAAACAAGCAAACAAACAAATAAAACAATAAGCCTGTAGTTTGCAGCATTTTTACATTACAGTTCACCAAAACTTTTTTTTTTTTTTCATTTTCTAAACCACTTCTTTTTCACATGAAGTGTCCACCTCTGAAAACTGCTAGTAAAGCTGAGCTGGGCATGACATCAAGGGACTTGTCTGGTCCAGGTGGCAACAAATAATATGTAACCATTCTGTATGCTACTAAGTCAGACCAACTGGAACATAAAACCCCCATGCACACACCATCTATACACCCAGGGACAAGAAATAAGTTTAACCTGAGACACGGCACCTAAAAATATCAATTATAAATTCCATGTACAAGTATAATGCAGTACTTACCTGTAGAGTGGTCAGAACCAGATGCCACGCTGACCCCAAGATGCCGCCATGACAGTGTGCCACACTCAGTATAGAGCGCATACACTGGATGTTCTTGGCTGTCAACTGAATAAACATAATACATCAACGGTCAAACTGGGTAATCAACTTTTCAAATTGCATAATAATACTCAATATTTTGTATTGGGAATGTTATTATAACTACCAAATAGCCCATTTTACAAATCTGACATGATAAGTCTTAAAGCACAAAGTTCATCTCCATATTCCCAATATACTGCTACTGTCTACAGCCACTACCCCACTACCAGACTTTTGTTTAATTTCTCACATTAAATTCAACATGCACACACACACACACACACACACACACAAACACACACACACATTAACACACACACATACACATTAACACACATCCCCTCCTATATATAACTCACCATAACTGGTCCCTGCTGGGCCCCCATTGGGAGAGAAGCCGTGGGGAGGGCAGTGCCTACAGCCACCACTTGGCTCCTCTCTACAGCCTCTATGGTGGAGGAGGGCTGGAAATCTTGACTAGGATGACGACTTGAGGGACCTGAACACAAAGACAGGGATAAATTATTAAAAGAAAACAAAAACAACCACAGGATGTACATGTACAGCAGGTTGATGGTGATACTAAGATGGCAGATGCACAGTAAATATGAGACTACGTACTTCTGGCCGTGGGACTGTTAGAGGGCCCATTGAGAACTGTCAGTGCGTAATGTGGCGGCAACGAAGCCTTGCACAACGAGGTGATGAATGCATCGCGCGGTGTTGTCATGCCCAGTTCGCCGCACATGCTGGCATACGTCTGCTGCGATTTCAAGATGGCTTCTGTTGCACTTTCATCGGTGCTGAAAAATAAACCTCTTGAGTGAAAGAATTTAATCTATTGGAAGATATGTGAGAGTGCACTTCTCTTTGAAAATTAAATGTTTAATGATTAAAAGAATATATCTAACAGATTGGCATATAGTGTTAACATTTGTAGTCTCAGTCTTATTTTAATCAACTCATCCAGTATCTGTCAAAATCCCTTTTTTTTTCCTAGTCTGCTTCTGTGACATACAATTCAAAACCTGTGGCTTCTTTCACAAAAGAAAGTTAAACTCAGCATCCCAGTACAGTTACTACTGAGATAATGGCAGATATAGCTGTTGATAAACGTTTACCTGGCGTCTAAGAGTAGTGAGAGTGCAGCCAACATCCCTGTCCATGAGGACTCTATTAGAGTCTGAAACAGCTGTTTTTCCACATCTGGATCTGAAATGTATTTTAAAATGAACTGTGTCTAAATTCCCTCTCCTTCTTATAACAAATCAGAGAGCTAAGTAAATGAGCTGGAATAAGAGGCATGTGGCTATACAATTTAAAGTAGAAAGTTTATGTAGATGCAAAATGTCTGGTGCTCATGAAATTAAATTATTATGGGTGTATGTCTAAATTGAGATAAAAGTCATCAGAACATTAAAACATTTGGTGACCTCCATTTGTTTATGACTATTTTGTTAACTTTGTTTACAGCTGAAAGCTAACTGTAAAAAACCGTAAATCTCATTCCTTTTCATAGCTACTGTCAAACTAATAATAAGAAAACTTTTTAAAAACCAGAAGCTGCATATTCTATATTATACCTAATTTCTCCTTTGCCTGCTCTAAGAATGACCATATAATTAAGTAAACTGTAATCACTGCTGAAAGCTGATTATGAAAAGAAAATCGTAAATCTCAATTCCTTTCACAGATACTGCCCAACAAAAGATAAGCAAAAACTTGTAATTACCAGAAGTTGCACATTATGCATAATAATATTACCTAATTTCTCCCTTGTCACTGCCTGCTCAGTGTCCACCTCAGAGTTCTGTTCAGATTTCTCACTGTCCCCCGTGGCACTTCTATTCCTTGTTTTACTCTCCTCCAGCACCAACTGCACGCCCCGGACGATCTCCAGTAAACACTGGAACGCCAGCGAGATGCCGTATCCATCTGGGATTTGAGGGGGATCCAGCTTCTCTAGCATCTCAACACTGAGAGAGAATGATGAAATTATTCAAATCACTGGGTATTATAAGAAAGTAATGTATATTATAAGAAGTAGATATTTTGAATGAAAGAGGAGTGATAATATAAATATAGATAACTGAGAGAGAGAGAGAGAGAGAGAGAGAGAGAGAGTAAATCCACTTACAACACAGGTTTTGGTGTGTTCTGTGGTACATTCATGACAATGGGGATCCAGACGCCTCTGTATACAAAGGCCGCCTGGGGTGTCACTCCACTCCCTACAGGCATCCCTGCCACCAGGGAGGGGGGCTGCCCCTGGGTATCTGGAGCCTTCGCACCTGAAACACATTAACAATATTGGTAATGAAAAGAGTCATCCAACTTAAACTAAAGTTGTATTTTACTACTGTGAATTATTCCTGTAAGTTTGAAATGAATAATTTGTTTTATTTTCTTTTTACTGCATTTACGAGAAAAGAAAACAAGAAAATGTACAGAGAAAGCAATGAAGGACACAGGTGATGACTACGTATATGTCCAGACACAATGCGTCTTTTTTTAAATGTTACTTTCTTACAAAATTTTCAAACATGAACCTTACAAACTATATGAACCAATGAGGTTTTTGTAGTTAATTTTGACACATCATCATTTTGAGAAATATCACTATTTTGTTGTAATTTAAGACTGGGTTCCCACAGATTTAGATCGATCCATCTGGATCGACCTAACTCCCTGGGGGTTCACGCTAAACAGCTGTCAGCTTCTGGGAGCCGAGCGCACACAAAAGTTAATTACACCCTTACAGCTTTTAGTAGGTGGGACAGACATTTAAGCCATTTAATTGACAGCAATCTAGTGAGACTCCCCAGGGGGATAGATCAATCTAAATATCTGTGGGATTGGTCTCTAAATGTGACCATCCTGGACCTCTGGATAAATCTGGAAGATATTCATCTGTGCATATTTACCTTGTTGGACTACCAGTGCCGTGGGGGGACTCATAAACAGTGACTGGATGAAAGCCCCCAGGGCGTTGACTATGTCACGAAATATTTTGGTGGAATGTGGTTTCATGTCATAACTTTGGCAGAAGCTCCTGCAAAGTGAAAGAAAATATGTTTAACACATTAATTCTATTACACGAGTTCAATCCAAGCGATAAATCTACATTAAACCTGTCCAATCACATACTACAACTTTTACAGTAAATGTTGAAAAGATGAAATAATCAGCCAACCCAAGTTCACTGTAATCACTCCTTCAGGGTGTGAAGACATGCTTGGCTCACCTGAGGAGGTGTGGCTGATTGCACAGTTTCAGCAGCACTTCCAGAGCCAGGGCTCTCTGCCACATGGGTTTCTCTGGATCCAGAAACTTCACCAGCAAGGACAGGAAAATTTCACACTCTGTGTTCTTAAGGAAATGATTCACATAATTATATGAGATTTTATTAGTAGAGAAACAATGACAAACTTCTTACAATATGAAGGTTTTATATCTTTGTCATTCAAATCACATCTACATTGAACCTTTGTATTTTATATGTCTTCTAGCCAAGCGTACTAAATTAATTTCTTTTTTTTATTAACACTAAATTAATTTTTTTATTAATAGTTTTACAGGATAACCTCAGAATAATGCAAAACTGGTTTCTTTTAATTATAATATCAATTTCTCTGGTTCATGTAGACTTGAAAATATCATATCAGTAATTCAGTAAAGTTATGACAACTCATTCTTGGATCACATCAGCACAAAGATGTCTGATAAAAATGAAAACTTTAGTTTTTCAACATGCCTTTACTATGGGCTAAATTCAATATTGTTTTATTCCAACCAGTAAGCACCAAGACTACATATATTATTACTTACTAATAATGAATAATAGTGCCTGATTAACACAGAAACAATCCTCAACAGTCGCAGTACAATAGGAAAATATGGCTTCTCTGCTGGCACTGGTGACGGCAGTTGAGGGCCTCCTTGGCGATATTTCAAACTCGGTGAAAACAGCTTTATCACCAGAGGGCAGACGCGTTCTTTCAAGAGGAAACAGAATTCTGGGTGCTAATAAGGTAAAAATATGAGGTGTATTAAAAATCATTTAATATAAGGTGTTGAACATTGATTAATGGACATTTTATATTTATAGACAATCATCATTTACCAGAATGATGAAAATCTTTTTGAATATTTAAGGCCACAAGATTTGATAGTACCTAGGATCCAAAATAGTACTGAAATAAACTTCACTTAACTTATGGAATCTTTTGGGAAATATCAGTCACTCAAGCTAAGGCCACCGTCTTATTACTATATTATGTACATCTTTTTTATTATTTTTTAAAACAATATATTCATACAATAATTCAGTCCTACGTATTTGATATACCCTTCACTTATATTTATTACATTTTCACATTCATAACGATTACTGTTCATATCTATCTCTTTACTAAGTGGGAGAGGGTTATAGTCACATACAAGTAATTATTACCCACATCTTAAGATCCTTTATTTATTATAATGTAGAGAGATGTTTACCTTTAAGAAAGTGTTAGGAAAAGATGTGAGGACTTCTTCCATCAGCTCCAGTCCAAAGGTCCTGGTCATCTCGGTCATCCCCACTAACCAGAATGGCTGGTCAGCATTGACCAGTTGACAGAGATCCTGGAATGATGAAAAGTCAGCAAAGCTGTCAAATGTACAGACCAATATTAGTGAAAAACTAAAATGATGGAAAAAGGGAAAAGTGTAACTTTGTTGAGTCAAATAATGTGACCTCTTTCATTTGTGTAAAAGTCCTAGCAAGTTTTAGTTTATCTGTACATGTCTGAGCCCACTGAGGAAACTGAGCCTGTCTGGTAGTACTTACTTGAAATAAGAGGTAACCATCCTGAGCACAGGGTCTGAGAGACTTGGGAGGAGTCTTGCTGCCAACCTTTAACTCATCCAATGATACGGTCTCCAGGGGTTCTGAAGAGGGCAAAATATGACAACGGCATTTATTACATGACACAAAGATTTTTTATATTATCATTTAAAAAAATATATTCACAATAAATATAAAAAAAGAAAAAGGAGCATACCAAGTGCAAAAGAAACAGACAGACAAATAGCCCGTTAAACTGACCAACAGACAAACCAACAGAATTATACACTCTGAAAATAACAAACATACACCCAGAAGGAAAGACAAACACAGTGGGTCAAACTGACAGGCAGACAGACAGACACACAGACAGACAGACAGACAGAACGTCAAACTGACCACCAGACATGTACCTTGTGACTGCACACTGTCTTCAGTGACCACCCTCTCAAACACCACACTGACCAGCTGTCTGACCGTGGCCGCCGCCGTGTTGATGGTGATGCTGTCTTTGGCGAAGTGGAGACGAAAACACAGCACTATGGCCTGGGGAGAAAAACATAACAGAACATCACTCATGTAGTCTTAAGTGTATTATTGTCACTTAACCCGTCCAAATGCCTTCATATAGTTTCATAATACAAGAAGTATGTCAGGGTTTTGTTTCCTTATTTTCTTTTTATTTCATAACGAACTTGAGGGATGGAAATATAGGTCAAGTTTACAACAAGATGCTTAAAGAAGGGGCAGTTCTTAAGCCTTCTTTCAACTAACTTGGGTTATTTTTTGGCATGGCATTATGAGGATTTTATTTGAATTGTATAAGAAACTAGTAACAGTAATTTGTATGCATTGCAATGGATGTACACAGCTGTTGTCACACTTGTTTTGTCTCTTTAAACTAAATGATTTTCACAAGTGTGATAAATGACACCATACCTTGGCCAGCGACTCATGTTGTACAACAGAATTGGTAGTGAGCAGGAGAATGGCTGTCTGCAGCAGCCGGAGTTCCTCAGTGCCGGCCTCCATCAGGTTCCACAGGACATTGATGATGTTGTTGGCTGCAGGCTGAAAGAGAGATAGGTGCTGTAATATTAAACCTGTTCCTTGGGCATTCATTTCTCTCTCTCTCTCTCTCTCTCTCTCTCTCTCTCTCTCTCTCTCTCTCTCTCTGCTTTGTTCAGAATATTGGCAGACATGGGATCTCCATAGTTCTTGTTCTTTGGCATTAACATGTATGATCAACTCTTTAGTTTTAAGTATGATTTATTGGCTGAGGCTCTGTGTGTATGTTTACCTTAAGTTTGCTTTTCTCTAGCTCTTTTTCAATGCTGATTAAAAGGATCTGATGTAACTTCATTTCTTTTGTAAGGATGTGGCCTAGAAATTTCACTTCACTTCTGCTGTATCATTACCATATCTTGTTACAATTCAGTTACAGAAATATCTTAAAAGCAAGTTTAACCTATCTCACCATAGAAACTGCCTCATGCTGGATCAGCCTCTGTACTGCTGTCAAACATATTTGAACAACTCTCACGTGCTTGGTGTCACAGCCCAGAAGAAACGGCTGTACAATATCTGAGCTTGCTGATAATAATCCTACAATAAAACAGTTCATCTTTTTTATTATAAGATTTTCAAAGTAGGGAAAACCTATGAAAGACATATTTACTTCTGTGTATATTGAGAATGGTGTTTTATTGATATTTTATAATAAATATGTGTACACGACAATCTCAATTTAAGGTCAAATTAAAAATTTTGATATTGGTTTGCACTATTTGCCATGTCTCCACACATTTGCTCTAGTTTGGTAAAATTTTAGTCAAAATAAATTGGTATACTACATCTTAATTAGATATTATGGCCTTACCTCCAAGAATGTCTCCTTGTTTTGTCGATATAGTTTTTATCTTCAAAATCCCAGCCTCTGCAGCCTAAACAAAAATAAGATATACAAAGTAAGAGGTCACTTATTAATGCTTTAACAACATTATCCCCTCTAACAAAATTAGGTTATTACCAATATACACCCCTCCCACATTGTTACTCCCCCCTCACTGACACTCCCTCCTCCCCCTCCCCCATTGATTTTTACATCACAGGAAGGCATTTTTTTGTTATAGACATAAATGTTACATTTAGAGCAAGTATTTAAATTAAAAATTACCCCATAATGTTTTAGATACTCAGTGCTTATGTCCCATGTATACTGTGAGGTAGTTATGATCTCCAGAATATCATAGTAAGAATGAAGTGGAACTGATATGTTTGTCTCTATCTTGACTTCAGTTTTAATCCGTGTATATAGACTTGCAATAACTGCGACAAAATAATAAGCTGATACCAATAAAGCCTTCTAACACTATCCACGCTGGGTAATTGAGATTAAGGACATGACAACCATTTAAGAAAAAAGCACTGAAATAAAAGCTCCAACACAACCAGTTGTGTCACCTACAAATATCTATGCATTCTGATGCTCAGTTTTGGTAAACACGGCAGAAGTTGAGTATAAACTGCGAGTTCGGAAAATAAAATTTCAATGAAATTATTTAGATTGCCGGCCGGTAGCGTACCTCTTTGACAGGAGGGAATTTCCTTTTGGTTTCGCTGGAAAGAGCTCTGAGGTCGCTCTGCAAGTTCTCCACCAGCTTCTTTACGGCTGACTGTGATTGCATGCTTAGACGATCTTCAAGTTCTTCAGCCCAAAGCAACTTGTAAATTACAGTTCCTCCCTCGCGGAGACGAAGTAGCAGGAGCAGCTCCTAAAGCAGTGGGCTTGAGTGATTTTTAATTACTGTGGTGTCAGACTCGGCACGTCATGCAAGTATTTCGACTGTGCATACAATACAATAAAAGCAATACGGTGATGGAGTAATTCGCAAAGTTTTTTTTCTGACACAGGTTTATTTTCGACTGCAGGCTGCCATATTGTAGTGTCATACTTCCTCCAAGAAGCTAAAGAGGGCGGATTAAGACAAGATGAGCTTATTAAATATGCATACATGCATTATCTGTTTGCTTATGTAAGACATGGATCATTAGAAATTATCTAAATATTGTTTTCTTTATTTTCTTTTTCATCACATCTCTAAATTTCTTACTTAGATTGGTTAAGTATGGGTTGTGTTTTATGTTGGCAATATAGTCTCAAATCTAGTTTAAGCTGAATGTTTTTCAATAGATAGTAAAGTAAAAATATTTGGTATATTTCCTTTCACATATTCATTTTCATACTTAAACTGGCTAATTTTATTAAGATTTAAAGGTACATTTGCACAAGAAAATCTCATTAACGTTCTTTGAGTATTCGAGACTTATGCGCGAAATTCTGCGCACTTTACCAAGTGACGTGGATCGGTGCGAGGTGGCATTTTGTGTCAAAAAACATACCGCTGATTCTCGTGTATATTTACTAGGACAGAACATTTACCATCGTTTGCTATGAGTTTTTTGAAAAGAGATAAAAAGGAGGAAGAGGAAGGTAAGGAAAATAAGTACGATCCAAGTATTTTGCAGCTGAAATGTAGAAAAGCCGGTGCCTGGTTTGATCAGCTGAATATTTTTTGCCAAATATTTACTGTCAATCGCGTGCAAATTTCACACATTTTTTTAAAATCTGTCACTGCCTTTAGGACTTACTATGTAAGTAAGCAGCATCGCTTCCTGAACAGGAGGGCTTCATGTACTTAACACTTCCTAATTCTTTTCTTTTCGAGTGAAAAAGTGAGAAGTATGAAATGTGAAAATAAACTACAGATTGATTAAGTTGATGTGTAGCTGCTTTTTTATGTTTTAATGATATACACTTCTCTTTCGTTTTATTTTTTAATCTTGTAGCATATTTAAACCGAATTCAATTCTTTTTTATGTCTGTCACTTGTAAACTGTCATCTGTCAGTTCATATGTTTAATAAATAAAATGTCAGTGTTACAGTCATTGGAACTACTCATTTGGAAACTGTTCCCCCCCCCCCTTCTGTCATCCCCTGTCAAATGCACCGTTTTTGAAAATTTGGTGAAAAGACTGAAAAGATTATAAGATGATGGTTGACCTAGGACTATCAAATGATTCTTTTTATGACACACTGTTTCAACAATTCTATATTTTTGTTTATATTATTGCACCCCTAGAAACCAGTGTAATTTTTATATAAAGACATACTACATTGTCAGCATGACCAGATTCTGTTGTTTCACACCTTGTAGACTAGTTTAACACAAGGAAATCGAGATGTATATGTACAAAGACAAGGCACAGCCTGCTGAGAGTGAGTAGATGCCTGCCCTGACAGTATATACCATGCTTCATAGATAGTGGCATTAATTGATGATGAAATGATGTGATGTGAAACCAATGTAGATATGGTTGTGCCATTTTTCTTTGCATGTTAGGAAAACAATGTGGACCAATCGGATCTGCAAACCTCAGGACTAACCTGGCTTTTTTTCCAGCAGTTAAACTTATCATCGTCTTGTTGATTTACACAGTCAAATGATTTATATTTTGTATTCTCTTTAATTTTCCACTCACTTGCAATAACTACTACATTGATTGCTGTTATGAAAGCAGTTAACTTCTGATTGATATTCCACTGCCTAAATGTTTCTGATGAATGCACTACACTTGCCCTGACACTCTGCGTCACTCCCATCCCAACCCTTGCCAGTTCTTGCTCTCAAATTTTCTTGCAATAGTCATCCGAAGAAATGAATTTTGTTCTTGAAGTTCTGTGCAAATTTTGTATGCAAAAGCATTTAATCACATTAAATTCTTATTTGATTGTACAATTTTGACCCTGTGTTGATTCAAATGTTAGAACTCCCCACCCGCTAGTCCTTTTGAAATTAGTATTTTGATGATTGAAATAAAGTGTGATCACATACTAATGAATTATTCTAGCTCACAACGGTTTTGAAAAATAACAATAAGCACAGATTTGCCATAGGCATCATTTGAATTATTTTGTTTTGATTTTTGGTGTAAATTCCTTGTGTGGAAGGAAAAAGTATTTGTTGCAAAGTTGAAATTTAAATGTTGAGTTTCAGTTGTATTTACTTACTAAAAGATTAATATTACCATTTCTGAGTTAACACCTTTAAGTTGATATTCTCATACTTTCAATTAGTTATCTTGCTTTGTGGTTGTTTCTTACTATTTATGGCACTATCAAGTCATTTCTTATTATTATGAATTGATTTGTCTGTTTTATAAATTCACTTCTCAATGTTTTGTATTCCAGGGGGTGGGAATCCATTCCAGCATATGGAAAAGGCCACTGTATTACAGGAGGTAACGTTTGCCTAATATTTTTTAATTTTTTCATTTCATCAAATAAAGTGAACTGTATTTGATATGTTATCTGATATATTTATTTACATGTCATTTTCCTTTATGTTTTTACCCCCAGGTATTTTGGTATTTCCTAATATTGTTCTAATTCTTTATGGAAAAAAAAATAAGTTTGTTATCTACTTATTATTTTACAGATTGAAATTTTGGGAATGTCAAATGTGTAAATCATGTTTATTAAACATGAAAGTTATTATTCTTCATATAATTATATCTTTATATATTTCAGGCAAGGACATTCAATGAGACACCAATTAATCCCAGAAAATGTCTTCACATCCTCACCAAGGTTCTTTACCTGATCAACCAGGTAACAAAGCTTTTCTCTTTAATAATGATATATATAAATGATGTATTGCTTTAATCTTAAAATGACAATGTGATGTTGAATTTTTCATTCATGCAGGCTTTTTTTTTTTTTTTTTTTTTTTTTTTTTTTTTTTTTTTTTTTTTTTTTTTTTTTTGAAGAATGCTAGGTTTATTTCCTACCATCAGGTAGCATATGTTCTCTGGTTATGATAAATTTTACTGTTATCATTGTGATTTGGGGTTGAATTTTTGTTAATTTTTTTTTTAAAAACTTGTATTTATTTCCAGGGAGAGCATGTGGGCACCACTGAGGCCACAGAAACCTTCTTTGCTATGACCAAACTCTTCCAGTCCAAGGATGTGAGTTTCTACTCCTTCCCCCTTTACTCTTTGTACATTTTAACTGATATAAATACACAAATTAACGAAACTGAAACGCAACACATTTTAGGTACCTGAACTTTTTATTATCACAAACAAGGCATAGTTAGAAATCCCAAATGTAGACAAAATGAACAAAAATAGAAAGCAAGATTTATCATGAGATCATTTGTGTTTCCAGGTCACTCTTCGTCGTATGGTTTATCTTTGTATCAAAGAGATGTCCAAGATTTCTGAGGATGTCATCATTGTCACCAGCAGGTGTGTTGTTGTACTCACATACTTACATCAACAATGGTCAGCTAGCAGTTGATATAATTCTGAACATCCAAAACTTCCAGTGTGAGAGATGTTGTCAAACTGAACAAGAATCATTGAGAAATTCCAATATGCATACCTGATTTCAAGTTCTGTACTTGAAATTCTTCATAAGTAAATCTTGTTTCGCTTTCTCAATTACTAGATTGACTTTTTTAAAAAAAGAAAGTACTCAAATTTTGGTTGTTGATAGTTATCCTGTGAACAATTTTGGATAAATTGGAAATACTTATTGTCTTTTTGTTTGATGTTAGTTTCTGTTGTTATTTCCAGTTTGACCAAGGACATGACTGGCAAGGAAGATTCATTTCGTGGTCCAGCTATCAGAGCTCTGTGTATGATTACTGATGTAAGCAGTGCTTCTACTCAAAAAATACTCCTGTTATAATCTTTTCAAATTCATATGTTTATATATTTATCTTTTTTTAAAACAGGATTATAACCACAGTAAATATTAGATCAAAAAATTGAGTCACCTTTCATGTACATTATACTCCCCCCTTATTCCCTTTCCTATTGCACCATTGCAGACCACCATGTTGCAGAGTATAGAGAGATACCTGAAGCAGGCCATAGTGGACAAGGTCCATGCTGTGTCCAGTGCTGCACTCACCTCTGCTCTGGTAAGTTAGAAATGACCAGATCTAGGTGTAGATATAGTATTCTTACTGTTATGCTCATTATACCACACTCTAATATGTTGTGCACACTGACAAAATCTGTTCAGTTTAGACAGAATTTTTTTAAGATGTATAATTCATGCCTCCCCATCCTGTGTTTGTGATGAAAACAAATCTTATATATTGCTGTATTTTCTGTCTGAATTATTTCTGTACTTAGTGTATAGATAATTTATGTATTTACTGTTAACTGTTTCATTTTCATGATGAAAGACATCCATTATTTCTCTGTGTGCTATGACTAAATGGTCAGTATGTAATGGTCATTGTGTTGTGTTCCAGCACCTGTCCAAGACCAGTAATGAGGTGGTCAAACGCTGGGTCAACGAGGCACAGGAGGCCGTCAACAGTGACAACGTCATGGTCCAGGTTAGCAAGATTTATTAATTTATTAAATTCTTGAACAATTTTCTCCATTTATACTCTTTAATATTGTACTAATACTGTTTTGCAGAAAGAAATAAAATTTTACTTTTCTGCAGAATACAAGGGCTCTGAACATTTTCTATTACATGACCCAGAATCAGTAAAAGTAATAGTTATTGTAGTACCACCATCTGAAGTACATGTAGTTTTACCTTCATTCCACGGCGTGAATGTATTATTAAGTACTGATAAACAATCTTTGTTTGATGTTACATATTTGTACAGTTTAAAATTTTCCCCCATAAATTTCAGAATGATAAATAAATCTGAACATCATTTCAGTATCATGCGCTGGGGCTATTGTACCACATCAGGAAGTCAGATCGTCTCTCGGTGACCAAGATGGTCTCCAAGTTCACCCGACACTCTCTCAAGTCACCTTTTGCCTATTGTCTCTTGGTGAGTATGTCATCTAAGGAACAGAAACTCGAATGTGGTGTTATTTAGTTACTTTAAAATTGAGTCTAAGGCTCTATTCCCATAGATTTTAGATCGATCTATCCCCGCGGGGAGTCTCACTAGGTTACTTTAGGATAATCCGACTTGAATGTCCATCCTGCCTACTACAAGCTTTAAGGGGGTAATTAACTTCCGTGTCCGCCCGGCTGACAGCTATTTAGCGTGAACCCCCAGGGAGTTAGGTCGATCTAAAGTAGGTCGATCTAATCTATGGAAATGGGGTGTAACAAAAGAACTGTTTCTAAATAGACTAAACCTGATTTTACCCAATTTACTTTGATACCATATCAACCTTGGAAAAACTATTTCATTGCAATAAAAGAAATAAGAATATGAGACATATTAGTGTAGGATGTTCATGGTAACTAATTTTCTGTGTCAAATTTGATGCACCTATGTGTGATTTTTTTTCTTCAGATCCGTATTGCTTCTAAATTGATTGATGAAGAGGATGCTGGGTAAGTGGAAATACATTGACAGTTATCTATCAGCAAGTAATATCTTGTTTTGAATGAGTCCCCTAATACAATCATTTATAACTGTTACATATATTAAAATTTTAGTTAGGAAATGACTCTGTTTTAAGCATCTGCTTTTATGTAGAACATACTTGATTTTATTCATGTTATTATAGCGTACATGTATTCTTCTGTGTTCAAATATATACGATATATTTATAAGCTTTATAGGCAATATTGATCCAATGTAATATGTCTGGAAATTGTAATTTTCTTCTTTTCAACTTGTTTTATTCTATAAAATTTATAGCACTGACAGTCCAATGTTTGAATTCATTGAGTCGTGCCTGCGCCACAAGAGCGAGATGGTGATCTACGAAGGGGCGCATGCTATAGTGAACATGAAGCACACCACAGCCAAGGAACTGGCACCAGCGGTGTCAGTGCTGCAACTGTTCTGTAGCTCTCCCAAACCTACTCTGCGCTTTGCTGCCGTGAGAACCCTGAATAAGGTAAATACTGCAGGGTAGACAGGTGTTGGGATGATGGTGATAATAAAAATAATAATAACAATAATTGCAGTGCCTCAAATCAATAAATGATGATAAGCAGTAATGATAATAATAATTGTAGAACCTCTAATCGAGGAATGATGATAATAAACAAATTATTGTCAAGCAAACTGCTCGTTGCACTAAATATATCAGTAAAAGAGAGAAAACTCTGAATTTACATGATATAATGGAAATCATGCCAGGAGTGTGATCTTTACTGGACTTTAAGTTGTCCATTGTATTGTTGTTAGGTAGCCATGAAGCACCCCGCTGCAGTGACAGCGTGTAACCTGGACCTGGAGAACCTGATCACAGACAACAACAGGAGTATTGCCACACTGGCCATCACTACACTGCTGAAGGTAGAGTTTATTTATTTATTTATTTATTTATTTATTTATTATAACATAGGTCAATATATGGCAGGCACTGATGGTCCATTTTCAGTGTAAACAAAATTTCTTTTTTTTTTTAACTAAAAGACTTCAGTACATTTGCCAATAGACATTAAGGATATTTCAGTCCCAGACTGTACGACAGTGTGTTTTGTATATTTTAGACTGGCAGTGAGAGCAGTGTGGACCGGCTCATGAAGCAGATCTCCACTTTCATGTCAGAGATCTCTGACGAGTTCAAGATAGTCGTTGTGGAAGCCATAAGGTTAGTTACTGTTATATTGGCTGTGGTTGAAATATCAAGGTTGAGTCTGGTCCTCATTATATTTGTATTGCTTTTATTATTTATTCAGAGGTAAAGTTTTAAATAAGACAGTGATTATATTACCGACCTGTCCTTAGGTTGACCTAAGCTTTTATTTATTTATCATTTATTTAGGTCCCTGTGCATCAAGTTTCCCCGCAAGCACGGTGTGATGATGAGCTTTCTGGCCTCCATGCTGCGAGAGGAGGGCGGCCATGATTACAAAAAGGCCATCGTGGACACCCTCATCCATATTGTGGAGGAGATCCCTGAGGCCAAAGAAATTGGTGAGTGATACCAAGGGTGTGGATAGAATACAAGTGTTCTTAGGATACCAGTGTGGCATGTTTCAGGGTGTAGTTTTCAGGATGTGCCTCCCGTGATAAAAAAAAAATCTATAGAGCTCAATTTTGATGAAATTTTTTGCCCGAGTGTGACTTTGAAAAAGTAAAAAGTCGTAATTATCAAACTGAGAACAGTGTCACCAATCTGTTCCAAGATGAAATATGAGGAAATTGCCTAAATCTGAAAACTAGTTTATTTTGTGAAAAACATTTCACAGTGGTACTTCTTCATCATGGAGTATTCTTTTCTCTTCCAGGACTCTCTCATCTCTGCGAGTTTATAGAAGACTGCGAGCACACCAGCCTGGCCACACGTATTTTGCACCTGTTAGGACGCGAGGGTCCTCGTACCCCACAACCATCCAAGTACATCCGTTACATCTACAACCGCGTTATCTTGGAGAACTCACCAGTTAGAGCAGGTAGGACATGAAGGAATTTCACATCTTGTTTGTGTTTGCATGCATGAGTATACACATGATAAAAGATTTTTTTTTTTTTTTTTTTTTTTTTTTTTGGGAAACATAATGTATAAGAATTTATATTTTGTCTCAGTTTTACATCCAGCATTTTTACTGTTTTCACTTTTTAACGCGTAGCTGAAAATGTGTTACTTCTTATAGCTGGATAGAAATCTTTTTTCCTTCACTAGTCCAGTTAGTATGGATCTTAAAACTTTATAGCATTTGAATAAACCAGATGTTAAGTTCTTTAATGCAAATCTCTTCAGCAGATCTTTTAAGTTCATTTAATGTTCCATCAAATATTTAGAGCTGGCGTGTTCAGTTCTGTGTGCTTTTATTCAGCTGCCGTGACTGCCCTGGCAAAGTTTGGTGCTCACTGTGAGGAGCTGCTGCCCAGCATATTGGTCTTGTTACAGAGGTACAGTGGATGGTGTGGTCACTATGATACTCTAAGAGCAACATGAAGCATACAGCACACCTTATAACTATTATCAGAGTGTGATACCTATTTACTGAGGTCCCAAAGTCGCCAAAATGCAGAATCCATTTTATAAAGCATTTCTTTCAGTTTTATAAAATACACCTTGTCAGTTATTTGCCCCCAAGGCCTCTTTAACACGTGAAAAATATTACCTTCCATCTTCCAGATCTCTCCTAGATGTAGATGACGAGGTGCGAGATCGAGCCACCTTCTATCTGAACATCCTGCAAGAGCAGCAGAAAGCTCTCAACTCTGCCTACATTCTGAATGGTGAGTAACACAATTAGGAATATCATTTGTTGTCTGCAGTATTTCGTTTTATTTTCTGTAAAGATCAATATAAATTTAAATGGTATGAAATTTAGCACTGCTTTTCGTCCTCTATATATGTATGTGATCAGAATTTTTGAGTACTGGTTATCGCTAAATGTTTATATTACAAATCTGTAATTTGGTTAAGTTTGTATCAATTTTGTATTACTACCAGAATTTAGAACTAAATCCTGAAAATTAGACTGATAAAGGACACATAATTACATATATCTTGAATAAAAAATCCCCCCAGGTCTCCAAGTATCTATTGTTGGTCTGGAGCGTGCCCTGCACAGCTATACCATGGAGCCGTCTGACAAACCATTTGACATGAAGACTGTACCCATTGTGGCCCAGCCTATGGCGGAACAGAAACCTGGTAGGTAGAGTGGAATTTATTTATTTGTGTGTTTGTTTGTTCAGACATGAGCTTTTTCTGCGGAAAAGCAGAATTTCGCGTTTTTCAATTCAGTTCTGATGGTTCCTGAGATTCATCAAGGTTAGGTGTTTGGTCCCATGTTAAATGTTCAAAAGTTTTTTTAAAAACCTAAGCTCATGTCTGTTTGTTTATTTATTTATCTATTTATTTTTGACCTCTGATGTTAAGTATTTTGCATCAAAATTTTCATAATGTGAAATAGGACGTGGGGGAAAGGGGTCTTTTTTACTGCATTCTTTGCTTCCATTGTTGTTGCACATCTTTACAACAACATCTTTAAAACGGTTTTAAATCTTCCATGATATCGGTTACACATCTGCTGTATGATGTCGAGTGATTGATGGTTAATTTTTCCCCCTCTCTCTGTCAGAGAGGCCCCAGCTCACCAAGACAAAGGGTAAGCAGACACTGGGTAGGAAGAAGAAGTGGAAAGGAGGGATTGGAAATTGATGGGTTTTTGTTTCATTTAATGTGATATATAAATTGCATTTATGTTTAATTGTTGCACATTTTATTTTTCATCTACCATTCTGATCTATAGAGATAAAGGTTTTCTGGTTGTATCCAAAAATCCAGATATTTTGGTGTGGTATTTATACCCAGCAGGAACCCCATATAGAGCCAGTTACAGGATTTTTAAGGTCCACTTCCTTCTCTGGGCTGTCTTACATTAAGTGTAATGGGTCTTGTGGTAGAGGTGAATAACCTTACTGTCCTGGTATTCTGTTCTTATGATTGATATTATATAATATATTATGTCTCTGTTCATACTGAAATGAAGCTTAATGGCAGGGATACCATCTTGGGGGAAATGTCCTAACTTCAGGGGACATCATTTTGGTCCTGTAACATCTCTGAGCAGGACCTACATGGAGGGGAATTATCTTTTGTTGCAATTCTTTCTGCGTATTTATTTGATATTAAAAGAATTGTTTTCAGCAGAATCTTGCTGGTGTTTTTAGTTTGTTATAAGGAATTTTATTTTTTCCACAAGTTTTGAGGGGATTTTATTTATTGAATGTGTCAGAGGGATGGAAACCGACAGTCTTTGGATTGATCACTTTTGTGCTTTAATATTTATTTAAAGCACATGACAAACTGTAAACTTCATAGTCAAGCACAGTGGCTATATCAAGATAATTATAAATTGATATGTACAAATGATAGAGTACAACAAAAAGAACCCATATTTTTCTTGACCCTATCATTATTATTATTATTATTATTATTATTATTATTATTATTATTATTATTATTATTCTATTCCAGCAGCTGGAGCAATCCCCGGGGATGCAGGGGGAGGGGGATCAAGACCAGCGGAGAAAGTGGCCGCTTCCAGACAGGATGTCTATGCAGGTAGGGAGTGTAGAATAAACGGAATATGGAAAATGAATATAAAATACTTCAAAGAGTTTTCAAATAGAATTTTAAGATTTTAAGAAGTTATTTTATTATAAGAAAAACAATTTTTATTTTTGTCAAAAGGAAAGTTTTAACTACAACAAACATAATTTACATATCTACAAAATCAATTCCATTCCAGAACAACTGGCGGCCATTCCAGAGTTCAGCACCTTGGGTCCGTTGTTCAAATCATCCAACCTTCCCGTGGAACTCACCGAGAGCGAGACTGAGTACATGGTTCACTGTGTCAAACACATGTTCCAGAATTATATTGTACTTCAGGTGAGGCTTACTGCAGATAAAATACAGATTTTATACTTCAAAGTATCAGAGCTGATGTTTGTTACTTATTGTTCTCAATACATGTCATAGTTTAATTCGGATACGGCATACACCAATGAGAGGAGTATGTGGCTTTAGGCATGCTTTGCATTCGAGCGTATCACACACACCTCGCTGAATTGTGGTTTGTCCATTACTTACCCCATAAGTTTCCCTCTCCTTCAGTTTGACTGTACCAACACCCTAAATGACCAGCAGCTAGAGAAGGTCATCGTCCAGATGGAGCCGTCCGAGGGCTTCGAGGTGGTCAGTTACATCCCAGCCCCTGTCCTGAAGTACAATGTACCTGGTATTACCTATACACTGGTTAGATTACCAGAGGACCCCACTCTAGGTATACAGCTGTTCTTAGTTAAATTAAGATATTTTTCTATTCAAGATATGAGCCTTTAACCTCTAACATGATTTGAAATTGTATGACTTAAGATTGTCTATATTTATAGACAAAATTTTTGGAATCTACAAATTGTGTATTGTATGAATATTTTTTTCTTTTCTTTTTTCTTGATTCAGGGGTGCACCATAGGGCCCAGAGCAAATTTTCTTTAGTTACGATTTAACTTAATATTTTGATTTAAAGTGAACCATGTATTGAGATAGTGATTGAAATACTCACAATACTAGAAGTCAAAGTGTGTGTGCTATTTTTACAGCAACTGGCACGTTCAGCTGCACCCTGAAGTTCCTGGTGAAGGATTGTGACCCTAACACTGGAGAGACTGATGATGAGGGGTACGAGGATGAATACGTGGTATGTACGGTTAGATTTCTCTGCTGTTTCTAGCCTTGAATCTCAGGGTGGCTTCCATATATTTTTCTCTTAAGTTGCATTTATACTGGATCTCTGCATGTTCGTCTCAATCTCTACTAGCAGTAGATTCTCTCTCTCTCTCTCTCTCTCTCTCTCTCTCTCTCGTGCTGCACCAAATGCAAATGATGCATGACCTAGATCCTGATTTCCCATGAGGAGAGCTATCTAAGGAACCTCTGATGCATTTTAGCCAGATAAAAATTGTTGTATTCTATATAATGTTACTGTAATCTAATGGTACTATACCAATCTCTGTTATAATGGCAAGGCTGGGACAAGATACTGATTAGATTAGCTTTTTGTGGTTAGAAATCTAGTACTGATATTAGACTATATTTGTTATCTCCGTAGCTTGAGGACCTGGAGGTCACGGTGGCGGACCATGTCCAGAAGGTGATGAAGCCAAACTTTGCTGCCTCCTGGGAGGAGGTTGGAGAGGAGAACGAGATTGAGGACACCTATGCCTTGTCTTCTATGAAATCTTTGCAGGGTAAGGACTGTGTGTGTGTGTACATTTGGGTTCATATGTGAAGTGAATGATGTAAAATGTGACATTGTAAATCCCAGCACTTACGATTGAGTTCTTTCTCTGCTGGCGTAGTATGATATTTATCAATATCTTTGTCATTTTAATTTGTGAGATTTCTCACCTTCTGCTAGGTAGTTGGTACATGTTTCTTTGGGGTTTAGAATTTTATTTTTAAGTTGATGTCTCACATACCATAATAATAATGGGAAAACTTAAAAAGTTTTAGCTAGAAGTAAGCGTAAAGGAAATTTTCATCTCAACTGTTTTTTCTGTGTGATTACAGAAGCTGTGAAGACTATCATACAGTTCATGGGAATGCAGCCCTGCGAGCGTTCGGACAAAATCCCCGAGGGAAAGAGCTCGCACACCCTCTACCTGGCTGGCGTCTACCGTGGCGGCCATGACATCCTGGTACGGGCCAAGCTCGCCATGGGAGACGGTGTCACCATGCAGATCACCGTACGAAGTACCGACCCACATGCCGCGGAAGTGATCTCATCCGCTGTGGGTTAATCTTCTTAAAATCCTCGTACAGGGATGGTTCAAGAAAAATGGCAGTTTCAGATTAGAATAAAAGACTATATATGTATCAGAAATTATTATTTGTTGCTAGGAAAAGGTGCATGAACTTGGATTACTTTACTTTCAAAATCTACTTATATTGTGCTTAATATGCCGTGATGAGAAAGTTGTATTGGAGTAGTAAGGCATGATGACTCATTTCTTTCAATGCAAAAAATCTGAGGTGTTTGTTAAACGTGAACAGACTGGAAGGGTGTTCTAATTGCTTGGCATTCTGATTTCAGTGAGGGAAGTGAAGTAAAAAAGTAATTCATTATGAACTTTGAAATGCTGAATGTTATATACGTTCGTCAGTCAAAATATCTTTGATTTATATCACTTGATATATATAACTGTTCATAAATGTATGTTGAATGTTGCATTTTGGAAAAAAAAACAGAAGTATCAGATAATTGTAGAAATAAATATACAACTGCCAAGATCTCGAGTTGTGTTATTTACTGCTGGAGATTATAATGTAATACTAGACCCGCTGTTAAAACGGTGTTGTTTTTGTTTGTACTTCCGCAAAAAAATGTTGCTCGTATAAACTTGGACAAGAAAAAAGATCAAAATTTTTAATCCACATCATTGGTTTTTGTACCTGAATATGTAAAACCTTTTGTGATTGAATTTTTGGTCGACACTGCTTATGATATGTGCAGCTATAATACGAAAATGGCTTTGAACGAAATGCACTAATTGTCGTGTGAAATGGAACAAACCCGAATTGCGACAGTTATACCACGAAATCGTGTTTTGTAGCCTTTTGGTTGTGACACTTAAAACGGACATCAGTTAACCATAAAAGTGAAGAAATGAAGTTAACAAATGCACACTAAAATAATTTAAACTGATGAGAGTTTTAAATCTTCACTGAACAACTGTAATTGCAACTGGATCATCCACGTTCCCCAAATAAATTACAAATCTATGAAAATCAAATAAAAAGCGCTTCATATTAACTAAAACTAACTCAAAACTGTAGCAAAGTTAACTGTAAAGAGCAAATCATCTATAATTAGCCAGCTTGCCGTGGACGGCTGTAGAACGAGAATCAAAACTGCCGTCACGCACGCGCCCGCCGCCGTCAGCCACATACCAAGCCCTATATAATAACTAAACAGGGCAGTGAGACCCACTAATAAGTACCCCCCACAGTACATTATTACACAGTCGTCCCATATTTCATATGGCGCTGATGAATCCGGCCATTTGTGTATACAATATGTTAAAGAATGCGCAAGGGCAAACATCGTAGCTTTGGCAAACAACATCGTAGCGGCTTGGAAAACAGTTTGTAGTGTTCTGTACGGTAAGACGTAAGGTAAACGCCTCGTGCTGTTGGTGAATATGTGAAAGACTGCAACTGAGAAAATTTTGGGAACTTTAAATTCTGCTGGAAATGCGAAAATTGACGGCAGTTGTTTTAGTGATTGGAACGTCTGCCAGATGGCGCTGCATGTCAGTCCGGTGATGGTTACTGTGATGGAGAAAAGCCTTGGACGTTTCCCTACATAGTAAACGAAATAAATAAAAGCAACGGTAGCAAATGCAAGAAATACTCCTGCTAACGTTCCAGCAAACAGGAGAAAAAAGAAAATAGTCTTGGTTTTCATGAGGTTGTAATGAAACCCAATCCCATATACAATCGCTAAACCCAGCACGATGAAGCCAGACATGTTCTCAAAATCGAGATCTTTTGTCGTGTCCAGTTCCCATTCCTCTCTTTCAGGGACTGTAGCAGCTGCCCATAGAACACTAAGTATGAGGACTACAACAAGAGTCCCATAGAGATCAAGTGGATCTAACACAGCGTCTATCATTGCACGTTTTTCTGGATCCTTCCATTCTAGCAGACGAACTGTTTCAGAAGACGACGTGTTTATTGATTTCGATGGCGAGGCAGTGTCCTCTATTGCTGAAAGCACCCCTATTAACGCCCCTTGGAAGGGTACGTGATAGCGTTCAAGTCCCTGGGGTCCAGAAGTCTTAGCGATAATTTCGGCTATGGAATAAGTGACGCCGGCCGTCATAGCCCATCCGCCATATTTGTGGCAAATTCTAACCAGGCAGACGATCTGCCAGAGTCCCAGCACACCCACGAGAAGTGTAGATGACTTCACCATGTTGGGGTCATTGACTAAATCCCCGTATCAAGTCCGATTGCAAGGTTTAATCCCATGGCATTTATATCCCCCACTTAGCCGCACAAGATTATAATTGTCTTTATAGATTTCTGTCCATCTTTAAAACTAGAACGCTGAGTGATCTTCAATAAGTCCAAACACCACTGAGTAGGCCTAGTTTAAGTCCACAACATTACGACAACGCCAGCACTTAATCTGTTAGACAAGCTCCTCTAATATCTAACCCAGTGCTGGACCGGATGCTCCATAAACTTCCATACTATACCTCTTAAACATGTATGGTGATGTCGCTAGTGTTCGACTACTTACTGCATGGGTAGTGAGAAACGAATTAATTGTAGTAGACCAGTAAGTTGTATGCCTTAACGTGTACAAGTACTATGTCTTTCACGACAGGTCGATTTGATTGCTTTGTGGCTTTAAGGCTATTCAAAATCCAATAAATGAGTGTTTGGCGACCTGTGCATTCAGTGCGCGGGCGACAGAATTGATTTTGCGCTCAGCGGTAATGCGTAAACACAGGCTTCCGAACACGCTTTAATGCAATTACAAGTGGTTACAGCATGGCTCTTTCACTCTGTGATTGTTTTGTTTGTTATACAGGGCCAAGCTCATATATTTCAGATTAGGAGACTGGGTAATTTTTTTTTACCCTTTGCGTATATGATTAAATGGACTATGTATAAGAGATTTTATTATTTTTCTCAAAAAAAAAAAAAAAAAGAAAAGAAAAAAAAATCCCCGATCACGATTTTGTAGCATGTTAATTCATTTTTAATCGGTTATTTTTGCGTGGCATTGTCTTTTATATCTATTCATCTGTTTTCTTAAAGGAACATAAAATTAAAGGATCCTAGAGTGAATTTCATCAAATGGTAATAATTCCTTTTAAGGATTAATTCTAACTTAAGTTATATTGAAGTTCATATAACATAATACCACGATTTCTGTATAACATCACACCCTAATTTAAAATACAACTTGTTTTTCGGGTGAGCGTAATAACAGAAAGTGTTCACATCCATCCCGGTCATTGGGCAAGAAGGTAGCTTCTTCCTGCTCCCTCCTCCATACATTTCGTTCCAAAATATTTCTCTACATTCTCTACAAGCGGCGTGAATAGTTACCAGTCCTTTATACAGACAAAAACTGTACACACGCCCCATATAGAAACGAGTGAAGTTCTCATGTTTTTGTGGCTGAACTAATTCTGTTTTATTCGCGCAAATTCCGAGATACACGTCTTCCATTGGCATCAGCGGCACGTGGCGTGACGTTTCATGAAGCACCCGCACTGTGTCCATGGACATGACGTACCCCGACCCAGCCAGATAAGCTGGGTATAACGCCCCCGGGTACTCCTGCTCGCTGACGTATCCCTTTACTCTTGGGTCCCTCTCGGGTGGTTTCGGCTCATAAAGTCTTCCCATAAAGAGGTATTTGGTCCGCCACCAAGGAAGGTCCAGTAAGTAGTCTACCAGTTTTGGATACTGAACGATCACGTCGTCGTCTGTTTTCATTACATAAAAGGCGCTTGGACAGTGACGTAAAACCCATCGAAGACCAAGAATAGTTTTGAGGGTCAAATTGCGATAAGTGTCTACAAATTCCACCCGTATTATGTCACGAAATTTACGATTTTCTTCCTCTATTTTTTCATCAGCGGTGCGGTTTTGAGACGTCCCCAATAAAAATAACGTGCGTATCTGTTCCCCCTGTGACTCATGCATAGACCCCCACGTTTTGCGATATATGTTCCTATCGAGGAAATTATCCGGTTTTGATTCAACAAGAACTAATAAGAAAACTCCAGTTTTGTACAGCGACCCTGTAGTATTGCAGATGCCAGGGGTTGAAATGGTAAACTGGTAATCATGATGGTGCAGAAATTTCAAATCGGTGGACATCGATCTCACATGTAAAACCGACTTTCGGTCGCTGAATGTGGCCTTTCTTTCAGGAGGCGTATCGCGATCAACACCAACACCAACATCAACATCTTCATCACTGAGTGGTCTCCCTGGTGAGTTGGCATTATTCAACGGTTCCTTTTTGGTTGCAGACCTTCGGTGAAGCCACGCGGTGTGTATACCAGACCTGTGATTGTACACCCTTGTGTAACATTCCAAGATGACCTCTGTCCGCAGAATATAGACAACAGACGATACTGTGATTGTTGTAAGGAGCAGTAAAACCCACTGTTTGTTGGAGGGCATTTTAGGCTGAATTGTGCCTCTACTTTTCAGCGACGATTTTAAATAAACGATGTTCAGAGATTTACCAGATTTTTTCTATTTGATCAGCCATGTGTGCACAGCTGAGCAAAACGAATATTTAGATCAAACCACGTCCACGTATGTCAGGGTGATCCAGTGTCTTTCTTTTCGTGAGAAGTCCTATAAGATTCTGAATGCGGGGTTTTTAGGCTATTAAACTGAGCGAAAAATATCCCCTAACCCAGGACTAACTACAAAAAATTAATATACTTTTTTTTTTTTTTTTTTTGGGGGGGGATGCTCAATATTCAAATTTAATATATCTTCCTATATTTTAAATAGGATCATATGGACCACCCAATGTAAAAAATAGCATCAGTTTTTTTTCTCAATTATTCCTGTGCCAAATGGTTTTTCTTAAACTATATATATTAGTATAAATAATTAGATAGTAAACATTCCAAGGCTACGTGACACGCGCACACTCAGCGGGCGTTTTCAAATCGGGCTGTATTAACACTGCAATGGCACACAGCACGGCAAAGTCACGTAAAGAGCATGATATACTTATATAATATATATTTATATATTATTACCACGGTATTGTTAACATCAACCGTTTGTTCGCTGTGTTAAGAACATTAAGTCAGAATTACCGGACATTGCTGCGTAAACATGGATTATGTTTCAATCCTCAGTGATGAAAGTTGATAATTACATATATATTATATAAATTTCTCAAAACTTGAAATATGCCAAGACTGAAAAAAGTGTCTGAATACACAGAATTGAGTGAAGGAGGACTTTCGGTGATTACTTGTAATTTTAGACCCCATTTCCGGAGATTAGATCGATCTACTTTAGATCGACCTAACTCCCTGGGGGTTCACGCTAAATATGTCACCCGAGCGGACACGAAAGTTTATTATCCCCTTACAGCTTGTAGTAGGCGGGACGGACATTTAAGCAGGATTATCTGACAGTAATCTAGTGAGACTCCCCGCGGGGATAGATCGATCTAAAAGCTCTGGGAATACAGCCTNACCTGGTATTACCTATACACTGGTTAGACTACCAGAGGACCCCACTCTAGGTATATAGCTGTTCTTAGTTAAATTAAGATATTTTTCTATTTTAAATATGGGCCTTTAACCTTACCTCTTACATGATTTGAAATTGTATGACTTAAGATTGGAAAATATAGACAAAAATTTTGGAATCTACAAATTGTGTATGTATGAAGATTTTTTTTCTTTTCTTTTTTCTTGATTCAGGGGTGCACCGTAGGGCCCAGAACAAATTTTCTTAAGTTACCATTTAACTTAATATTGTGATTTAAAGTGAATCATGTATTGAAATAGTGATTTAAATACTCACAATACTAGAAGTCAAAGTGTGTGTGTTATTGTTACAGCAACTGGTACATTCAGCTGCACCCTGAAGTTCCTGGTGAAGGATTGTGACCCTAACACTGGAGAGACTGATGATGAGGGGTACGAGGATGAATACGTGGTATGTATGGGTAGATTTCACTGCAGTTTGAAGCCTTTAATTTCAGGGTGGCTTCCATGTATTTTTCTCTTAAGTTGCATTTATACTAGATCTCTGCATGTTCGTCTCAATCTCTACTAGCAGTAGATTGCTTCTCTCTCTCTCTCTCTCTCTCTCTCTCTCTCTCTCTCTCTCTCTCTCTCTCTCTCTCTGCACTAAATGCAAATGATGCATGATCTAGATCCTGATTTCCCATGAGGAGAGCTATCTAAGGAACCTCTGATGCATTTAAGCCAGATTAAAATTGTTGTATTCTATATAATGTTACTGTAATCCAATGGCACTATACCAATCTCTGTTATAATGGCAAGGCTGGGACAAGATACTGATTAGATTAGCTTTTTATGGTTAGAAATCTAGCACTGATATTATATACTAGGCTATTTGTTATCTCCCTAGCTAGAGGACCTGGAGGTGACGGTGGCGGACCATGTCCAGAAGGTGATGAAGCCAAACTTTGCTGCCTCCTGGGAGGAGGTTGGGGAGGAGAACGAGATTGAGGACACCTATGCCTTGTCTTCTATGAAATCTTTGCAGGGTAAGGACAGTGTGTGTGTGTGTGTGTGTGTGCGTGTGTGTGCGCGCGTGTGTGCGTGCACATTTGTTAGGTTCAATTGTGAAGTGAATCATATAAAATGTGATATTGTAAATCCCAGCTCTCATGACTGAGTTCTTTCTCTGCTGGCCTAGTATGATATTTATCAATACCTTTGTGATTTAAATGTCGTGCTTTTTCAGCTTCTGCTAGGTAGTTGGTACATGTTTCTTTGGTGTTTAGAATTTTATTCTAAAGTTAATGTCACACATATCAGAATGATAGTGGAAAAACATAAAAAGTTTAGCTAGAAGCAAGCATAAAGGACCTCAATTATGTTTTTCTGTGTGATTACAGAAGCCGTGAAGACTATCATACAGTTCATGGGGATGCAGCCCTGCGAGCGTTCTGACAAAATCCCTGAAGGAAAGAGTTCGCACACCCTCTACCTGGCTGGCGTCTATCGTGGCGGCCATGACATCCTGGTGCGGGCCAAGCTCGCCATGGGAGATGGCGTCACTATGCAGATCACCGTACGAAGTACCGACCCACACGCTGCAGAGGTGATCTCGTCGGCTGTGGGTTAATTATACATTCCTCGTACAGGGATGGTTCAAGAAAATGGCAGTTTCAGATTAGAATAAAAGACTTTATATGTATCACAAATTATTATTTGTTGCTAGGAAAAGGTGCATGAACTTGGATTACTTTACTTTCAAAAACTACTTATATTGTGCTTAATATGCCTTGATGAGAAAGTTGTATTTTGTAGTAAGGCATGATGACTCATTTATTTCAATGCAAAAAATCTGAGGTGTTTGTTAAACTTGAACAGACTGGGAAGGGTGTTCTAAATGCTTGGCATTCTGATTTCAGTGAGGGAAGTGAAGTAAAAAAGTAATTCATTATGAACTTTGAAATGCTGAATCTTATATACGTTCGTCAGCCAAAATGTCTTTGATTTATATCACTTAATATATATAACTGTTCATAAATGTATGTTGAATGTTGCATTTTGGAAAAAAGTATCAGATAATTGTAGAAATAAATATACAACTGCCAAGATCTCGAGTTGTGTTATTTACTGCTGGAGATTATAATGTAATACTAGACCCACTGTTAAAACGGTGTTGTTTTTGTTTTTACTTCCGCAAAAAAATGTTGCTCGTATAAACTTGGACAAGAAAAAAGATCAAAATTTTTAATCCACATCATTGGTTTTTGTACCTGAATATGTAAAACCTTTTGTGATTGAATTTTTGGTCGACACTGCTTATGATATGTGCAGTTATAATACGAAAATGGCTTTGAACGAAATGCACTAATTGTCGTGTGAAATGGAACAAACCCGAATTGCGACAGTTATACCACGAAATCGTGTTTTGTAGCCTTTTGGTTGTGACACTTAAAACGGACATCAGTTAACCATAAAAGTGAAGAAATGAAGTTAACAAATGCACACTAAAATAATTTAAACTGATGAGAGTTTTAAATCTTCACTGAACAACTGTAATTGCAACTGGATAATCCACGTTCCCCAAATAAATTACAAATCTATGAAAATCAAATAAAAAGCGCTTCATATTAACTAAAACTAACTCAAAACTGTAGCAAAGTTAACTGTAAAGAGCAAATCATCTATAATTAGCCAGCTTGCCGTGGACGGCTGTAGAACGAGAATCAAAACTGCCGTCACGCACGCGCCCGCCGCCGTCAGCCACATACCAAGCCCTATATAATAACTAAACAGGGCAGTGAGACCCACTAATAAGTACCCCCCACAGTACATTATTACACAGTCGTCCCATATTTCATATGGCGCTGATGAATCCGGCCATTTGTGTATACAATATGTTAAAGAATGCGCAAGGGCAAACATCGTAGCTTTGGCAAACAACATCTTAGCGGCTTGGAAAACAGTTTGTAGTGTTCTGTACGGTAAGACGTAAGGTAAACGCCTCGTGCTGTTAGTGAATATGTGAAAGACTGCTACTGAGAAAATTTTCGGAACTTTAAATTCTGCTGGAAATGCGAAAATTGACGGCAGTTGTTTTAGTGATTGGAACGTCTGCCAGATGGCGCTGCATGTCAGTCCAGTGATGGTTACTGTGATGGAGAAAAGCCTTGGACGTTTCCCGACATAGTAAACGAAATAAATGAAAGCGACGGTGGCAAACGCAAGGAAAACCCCTGCTAAAGTTCCAACAAACAGGAGAAAAAAGAAAATAGTCTTGGTTTTCATGAGGTTGTAATGGAACCCTATCCCATATACAATGGCTAAGCCCAGCACGATGAACCCAGACATATTCTCAAAATCGAGATCTTTTGTCGTGTCCAGTTCCCATTCCTCTCTCTCCGGGACAGTAGCAGCTGCCCATAGAACGCTGAGTATAAGCACTACAATGAGAGTCCCATACAGCTCAAATGGATCCAACACAGCGTCTATCATAGCACGTTTTTCTGGATCCTTCCATTCTAGCAGACGATCAGGTCCAGAAGACGACGTGTTTATTGATTTCGATGGCGAGGCAGTGTCCTCTATTGCTGAAAGCACCCCTATTAACGCCCCTTGGAAAGGGACGTGATAGCGTTCAAGTCCCTGGGGTCCAGAAGTCTTAGCGATGATTTCCGCTATGGAATAAGTGACGCCGGCCGTCATCGCCCATCCGCCATATTTATGGCAAATTCTAACCAGGCAGACGATCTGCCAAAGTCCCAGCACCCCCACGAGAAGTGTAGATGACTTTACCATGTTGGGGTCATTGACCAAAATCCTGTATCGAGTCCGATTGCAAAATTTAATACCATGACATTTATATCCCCTACTTTGCTGCACAAAATTATAATTGTCTCTATAGATTTCTGCCCGTCTTAAAAACTAGAACGCTGAGTGATCTTCAATAAGTCCAAACACCACCGAGTAGGCCGAGTGTAAGTCCACAACATTAAGACAACGTCAGCTCTTAATCTGTTAGACAAGCTCCTCTAATATCTAACCCAGTGCTGGACCGGACGCTCCATAAACTTCCACACCTCTTAAACATGTATGGTGATGTCGATAGTGTTCGACTACTTACTACATGGGTAGTGAGATACGAATTAACTGTAGTAGACCAGTAAGTTGTATGCCTTAACGTGTACAAGTACTATGCCTTTCACGACAGGTCGATTTGATTGCTTTGAGGCTTTAAGGCTATTCAAAATCCAATAAATGAGTGTTTGGCGACCTGTGCATTCAGTGCGCGGGCGACAGAATTGATTTTGCGCTCAGCGGTAATGCGTAAACACAGGCTTCCGAACACGCTTTAATGCAATTACAAGTGGTTACAGCATGGCTCTTTCACTCTGTGATTGTTTTGTTTGTTATACAGGGCCAAGCTCATATATTTCAGATTAGGAGACTGGGTAATTTTTTTTTTACCCCTTGCGTATATGATTAAATGGACTATGTATAAGAGATTTTATTATTTTTCTCAAAAAAAAAAAAAATAATAATAATAATAATAAAAAATCCCCGATCACGATTTTGTAGCATGTTAATTCATTTATAATCTGTTATTTTTGCGTGGCATTGTCTTTTATATCTATTCATCTGTTTTCTTAAAGGAACATAAAATTAAAGGATCCTAGAGTGAATTTCATCAAATGGTAATAATTCCTTTTAAGGATTAATTCTAACTTAAGTTATATTGAAGTTCATATAACATAATACCACGATTTCTGTATAACATCACACCCTAATTTAGAATACAACTTATTTTTCGGGTGAGCGTAATAACAGAAAGTGTTCACATCCATCCCGGTCATTGGGCAAGAAGGTGGCTTCTTCCTGCTCCCTCCTCCGTACATTTCGTTCCAAAATATTTCTCTACATTCTCTACAAGCAGCGTGAATAGTTACCAGTCCTTTATACAGACAATAACTGTACACACGCCCCATATAGAAACGGGTGAAGTTCTCATGTTTTTGTGGCTGAACTAATTCTGTTTTATTCGCGCAAATTCCGAGATACACGTCTTCCATTGGCATCAGCGGCACGTGGCGTGACGTTTCATGAAGCACCCGCACTGTGTCCATGGACATGACGTACCCCGACCCAGCCAGATAAGCTGGGTATAACGCCCCCGGGTACTCCTGCTCGCTGACGTATCCCTTTACTCTTGGGTCCCTCTCGGGTGGTTTCGGCTCATAAAGTCTTCCCATAAAGAGGTGTTTGGTCCGCCACCAAGGAAGGTCCAGTAAGTAGTCTACCAGTTTTGGATACTGAACGATCACGTCGTCGTCTGTTTTCATTACATAAAAGGCGCTTGGACAGTGACGTAAAACCCATCGAAGACCAAGAATAGTTTTGAGGGTCAAATTGCGATAAGTGTCTACAAATTCCACCCGTATTATGTCACGAAATTTACGATTTTCTTCCTCTATTTTTTCATCAGCGGTGCGGTTTTGAGACGTCCCCAATAAAAATAACGTGCGTATCTGTTCCCCCTGTGACTCATGAATAGACCCCCACGTTTTGCGATATATATTCCTATCGAGGAAATTCTCCGGTTTTGATTCAACAAGAACTAATAAGAAAACTCCAGTTTTGTACAGCGACCCTGTAGTATTGCAGATGCCAGGGGTTGAAATGGTAAACTGGTAATCATGATGGTGCAGAAATTTCAAATCGGTGGACATCGATCTCACATGTAAAACCGACTTTCGGTCGTTGAATGTGGCCTTTCTTTCAGCAGGCGTAATACGATCATCACCAACACCAGCGTAACCATCTTCATCATTGAGTGGTCTCCCTGATGAGTTGGCATTCTGCAACGGTTCCTTTTTGGTCGCAAACCTTCGGTGAAGCCACGCGGTGTGTTTACCAGACCTGTGATTGTACACCCTTGTGTAACATTCCAAGATGACCTCTGTCCGCAGAATATAGACAACAGACGATATTGTGATTGTTGTAAGGAGCAGTAAAACCCACTGTTTGTTGGAGGGCATTTTAGGCTGAATTGTGTCTCTACTGTTCAGCGACGATTTTAAATAAACGATGTTCAGAGATTTATCAGATTTTTCTATTTGATCAGCCATGTGTGCACAGCTGAGCAAAACGAATATTTAGATCAAACCACGTCCACGTATGTCCACAGGGCAGATCCAGTGTCTTTCTCTTTGTGAGAAGTCCTATAAGGTACTGAATGCGGGGTTTTTAGGCTATTAAACTGAGCGAAAAATATCCCCTAACCCAGGACTAACTACAAAAAATTAATCTTTTTCTTTTCATTTTTTTTTTTTTTTTTTTTTTGAATGCTCAATATTCAAATTTAATATATCTTCCTAGATTTTAAATAGGATCATATGGACCACCCAATGTGAAAAAAATAGCATAAGTTTTTTTTTCTCCTGAGCCAAATGGTTTTTTCTTAAACTATATACGATTTATATTAGTATAAATAATTAGATAGTAAACATTTCAAGGCTACGTGACACGCGCACACTCAGCGGGCGCTTTATAATCGGGCTGTATTAATACTGCAATGGCACACAGCACGACAAAGTCACGTAAAGAGCATGATATACTTATATAATATATATTTATATATTATTACCACGGTATTGTTAACATCAACCGTTTGTTCGCTGTGTTAAGAACATTAAGTCAGAATTACCGGACATTGCTGCGTAAACATGGATTATGTTTCAATCATCAGTGATGAAAGTGGATAATTACACGTATATAATATAAATTTGCCAGAACTTGAAATATGCCAAGACTTTACAAAGTGTCTGAATACACAGAATTGAGTGAAGGAGGACTTTCGGTGATTACTTGTAATTTTAGACCCCATTTCCGGAGATTAGATCGATCTACTTTAGATCGACCTAACTCCCTGGGGGTTCACGCTAAATATGTCACCCGAGCGGACACGAAAGTTAATTATCCCCTTACAGCTTGTAGTAGGCGGGACGGACATTTAAGCAGGATTATCTGACAGTAATCTAGTGAGACTCCCCGCGGGGATAGATCGATCTAAAAGCTCTGGGAATACAGCCTTAGATATTGAAT